CCAGAAATACAAGTTTAGGCTTGGTTGCAATACCTACGCTTCACTCCTGCCAGACATCAGTGATGCAACATCCAAGGCATGTATTTAGTTGATGTCAGTTCCTTTTTCACAGTAACCTGAATCCTAAATATAATTCTTTGGAAATTAAGGGACATACTATAGTTCAGTCAAGCTACTTCTGAGCTTTATTTTGACAAACAAGCCTCGGCACAAAGCAAACAACAATGCATATGTTTTTATGAATGCGGGAATGACAAAATGGAAACATGGCTTTAACAGAAAAATATGTGTCCGTGCCATGTTCGCAGCTAGAGACTGAGAGCACATGAGAATCCAAAAATAAAACTGACTAGAAACAAAGGCAAAGTTCTTTCTTCTGCCTAAGCTAAGGGACATATAAACAGTGAACCACCAATAGCAAAAAAAAGTTGATGCCATTTTAATCAGATCTTTTTTAACAACATGCTGTAAAAAGCCAGAGTAAAATTCACCCCCCAGCCCTCTAAAACCTCCAGGAGTTCAGAATAAAAGCATTTTTCTGCATGCCCATCAGTAAAACCACTCATACATGAGATTTCTGGGGCATGAGCTTTAAACCGAGAGTCATTTAAAATGCTCCCTGGATGAGAAGTTGTTCTCACACTGTTTTCATATGAAAATACGAATGATTGGTAAGGGACAACTGCGTGCCCACCTCTGGAGTTCACTCCTCAGTAATGAGAGCCAAAGGCAGTGCTATTAGGCAAATTAGAAACTGGCCAAAGTGCAGCTAAACTGGCTGCAAACGGACCTTTCTAAAACTATATATCTGTGATGTGTAACATTCATTTTTATAGTAAACAGCAGTCTTCTTGGAAGAGGTGTTGTGCTACAGCAGCTGCTTATGAAACCCAGTAAATGGGGTGGCACCAAACTTCATCTGAAATCAAACCATCTTTTGTTTCCCTGGATGATGACATTAAATAGGACAGAAATGGCTACCTGCACTAGGGCTGTTCAAAGGCTAATCTTTTTCTTTTGCTGTTAAAATATAAATTCAATTAGTTACTTCCCTGCTTAAACAGAACCGCCGCTGCTGAAATTGTACTCTAGCGATAATTGCAATCCAAGAGTGATCTAATTATATACAAGTCTCAATGGCTGCATTCCCACGTTGCTTCCTACAACCCGGACTCACTACAATACAACTCGTAAGTGAAAACCACATCGTTTTCATTCATTCTCCCTTAAGACTGCATGACTTTATATATGTTTAATGAGAAAGGAGTTAGTTGATTAGTAAGCTTACTATAAAAATGCAAGTTTCTACCTACTGTTAAATACAAAAGAATACAAAGGCACTTTTCAGCTGATGGGCTAAACTGTGCAAGAGAAAGAACATTCTTTTAATTAAGGTCCTGGATTAGGATTCAAGTACCAGCTTTACTTTTTGGCTCAGCCACCAGCTTCCTGTGTGACCCAGGGCAAGAAATTTTATCGCTCCACAGCTCAGGTTTTCATCTATAAAATGGACAGTGACATTTCCTTCTCCCAGCCTGTCCACATTTCAGTTGTAAGCAATTACTGTGCATTGTCACATTGCCTTGGACATTAAGTATTTGATAGTAACTGAAGCCTTTTGGCAGGACTGTAATAAGAAGCTAAAATCAACTTGTCTCCTTTCTACAGGATCCTAACGTAGCTTTGTATAGCCACCATTTGCCACTACTGCATCTAACCAGTTTGTATCCCTGGGCAAAGTCCTGCAGTCAGCCTTCTTAAGTCTCTGTTCAGAAATGGAAGAGGAGAGACCAAAAGGCAGTGGAATAGGGTATCCCAAACATGTAAAGAATAACTTTGTCCAACACAGAATATCCTGGCCAACTCGAATGGACAATTCCCCGTTAATATTGTCAATGTGCACGAGTATCCCGTGCGATGCAGAGAGGCTGACAACAGCTTGCTGCTTTTTGCTTTGGTATTTTCTACTCCCATTGTAAAAATTCAGCTCAGTGGTGTTGCCAGGTTTGTAAATTTGAATGAGACCATCTGAGCCCAGTTGACTATTTTAAGAGGGTTCTTGCAAGTAATTACAAGGTAAAAACGAGAATACTTCACACCTACATTCTGACTGAAAACTACTCAGCCCTGCTGGCTCCAGGTTTTTAATTGTCAGAAGAGTTCAGGGTTTGGAAAGTTATTGGCCTATTCCTAACCAGCATTGTGTCATTATTTGGCACGCTTTTTGCTGGGATACCTCCCAAATCTGTGACATAATCAGAGGGTTCTCTACATTACAGCATATAGTCAGATGCTCATGTTAGTGTAATACGTTGCCATATTTAATACCATTTGCTATTACTTACACTTAATCAACTCTGGAACCAGTTAAACCATATAGGAAAAGCAATTTCAGAGGCTTTCAACTGACAGTTTTCCACACAGAACTTGCCTCAAAATTACGACCTGAAGTTTGTAAGATGCAGTCTACATACGCAATTGCCTCTAAACAAACACCCATAACTCTCCGCAACCCTGTGGGAACTGAAAATTTATATGAAAACAGAAAAGAGACAAAATAAATTTCTGTAGAACTGTCTTAACTAGAAAAACTGTCAGAGTTTCCCCTTCTGGCCAGCCTTAATTTACTGCTTCAGCAGTTTTATGCCCAACCTCCATGATTACTACAAGCTTTCAGCCACACAGCAATGGCTGAGCTCTCTAGCATCAATCCCCCTTTCAGGTTAAAGTCCCAGTGCAGTACCTCTCAAGAGACTCACAGTGAATTGAGCACAGATATTTTAGTTTACACTCTTGAACTCATGAAATTAAATGCGAAAAGCAAGTAAAATGATTACACAGAACTCCAAAATGCAGGTCATGACTTGCAAAATCACTTTTGGACTTCTGGTTTCATATCCCACAGGGTCTCAGCATCGGAAAATGCTGATTATTCCCCCAGGGGAAATCAAGGCTCCCTTGGGTGCCATCAACCTGGTACCCAGCACCTCAAATCACTAGTCAGTTTTGAAAAACCTCATTATTTACTTTTCTGCCTCTCTATAGGAAAGGAACAGACATTTAAATAAATGACATAATCCTTATTACCATTCCATTCATTCATGCAGGTCCCTATAATTTACTGCCAGGAAAAATAAACTTCTGCATAATATTCTTCAATGTAAGACATTCAAAAGGCTCAAAGGGGGAGAGGAGGTGAGAGGGCTTCTGACAAATATTTGTTCAAGTGACCACATCATCCAGGAACACATTTGCTAGAAAAAAATGGGTGAAGAGATTTATGGTCAGTGTGAAACATGCCAGATTGGAGCTGGGGCAGGAACAAGGAAAAGGAGCAGAGGACAGAGAAGAGAAGGGGAATTTTTAACCAGTTTCATTTCAGCAAGGAAAACTTCCAATATTGCAAGAGTGCCTTTTTCCTTCTATGTCACCTCTTAAAAAAAGTTTTAAGCAACTTGAGTTAATCTATGTTTCCTAAAGAATTGAGAAAAATGAAACCCAAAACAACTCAAAAATGCCACAACTCATCATCATCTTATACACTTCCTGGGCCAGGCTTTAAGTCAAGTTTAAAGCAAGCTCATGTGAGTAGCCCATTGCCTCCAGCAAGGTGGTCAGCAGAGGACTGAGGCAACAGAACACAATTTACTACCACCTCTGACAGCCGTTGCTGCTGCACCCTCCATAAACTTTGTTTAAACAAGTGTTCAAACAAAATGGCTTTGCTTGGTTCACCTCAACAATACCCATAGCTCACTATGGATCACAAAAATGTTGCCAAGGCTATAAAACTCCTCGTTGCTTTCAGTGTTGACTACCTAAAACCAAGTGGGTGGTTCACAGACTGGCTTTGAAGGCTGCTGGTAGAGCTCCAGTCTGATGGCATCACAAAGTTATCTTTTTCCTCCTGTGCTCCATGAAGAGGAGCAGATGAGCTCTCATGGTAATTCCATGGGGAATTCTCACCATGGGGATTTTTTCCTTTCTTGCTGCCTGAAAAGCTGGCACCTGCTTTATTTTAGATTTGGGGGTTCCTGCAGATTTGAGTGCTCTCAGACAAAATGAGACTCCACTTTTAAAAGTACTACCAGAAGGCCCTACAGTAACAACCAAACTGATTACTTTTGGACAGAGATGCCTTCAGAGCCAATAAAACTGCTCACACCCATCCAGGCTAATCAGCAAGAGCAGGGGTGAATAGAATAGAACTGGATCCTAAGAGTTCAAGCCCTAATGTTACTAAGCACTTAAATAAATACATGTAAGCCTTATTAAAGTCCACCAGGATTTTGGTATTATTAAGTTAACATTATTAAGCATGTGCTTGATAGTGCTGCTGAATCACAGCTTTGCTACTACTAAGAATTCACACAGTTGTTTATTTATCATTTGTCCTCAGGTAAAACACTTCTTCATTACTTTTGTCACTTGTGTTTCAGAGCTGCTCAGAGGCCACACAACAGGCTGTGGTCAGATCTCCGTTATACCGCTGTGAGTGCAAAGCACCTTTCCTGGAGCTCCAGATCAGCGTTAGCTTCCCCAAAGTCAGTATCTATCTTCTCATTGTAAGAAAAATCATTTCAGCTCTAACAACAGTAATCTAAAGGATCCCTCGACAATCTTTATAACTGCAGTTATTAAAATCTGTGTTAGGACAATTGTACGAGTAGTAATCCAATTGTAACACCAATGATTAAAATTGCATCAGTATTTATTATTTGGTTGTCATGGTAAGCTTGTAGGTGCATCACACAAACAAAAATTCACTTGTACACATGGACATTACACCTTTGCAAGGTACAAGTAGATTAGTCCTACAGACAAAAGACAGATGAACATACCCCTACGTAGCAATTGGCTATGCAGTGAAATCTTGTCTTCAGACTAATGCGAAATCATCTTCAAAATGAATGCAAAACGTATCAGCTTAGCTCTAAATGTTTTAATAGACAGCTCATTAAGTTAAAACATAGTGTTACACGCGACAGAGCTTTACTTACCAACAACGTCGAGATGGTAAGTGTGGTTGATGGATCCGTACTGGTTTTCCACTATGCACGTATAATTTCCCTTGTCAGATGGGACCACGCTCTCCATGATGAGACTCCAGTGCTGGTTGCGGACCTGGTGGGTTGTAATCAGAGAGATTGATAACTTCACTGCATAGTCTCATCCCCTCCAAAAGATCTGTTTTCTGAATAGTTAACCATTTGTAATCCATGATTAAGAACATACTCTGTGCTCATTTGACTGTTCTGGACAGTGAAATACTTTAGCTATGGTACAGCACGGCTGCAGCAGTGAAAGCTTTCATACATTCTGCTATAAATTTACCTTGTCCCTGATCTGAGCACTGCAGACCTCGGTGCATACTCAGTCCTACCAGGCTTAAAACAATGGCTCCAATTAGCAGCAGTCATCTTACCAGGCTTTACTTCTCAATCCACTCTAAAGTGAATTCATACCCTCAGGACATTTCCCATCTGTCTCCAAACAATCATCTGATAATATTAACTACCCACCAGCAATACAGCATGGATATTTTCCCCTAACATCAAATCTCTGTCTTTCTAGTAGCTCAATTATACAGCAAGGGTTTTGGAGAAACAAAGTACCAAAGGGCAATGTTTGGGATCCCTCCCACAGACAGAGGAGTGGCAACACCTCCCTTGTGGTACCCCAGGGCAGCAAAAGAAATAAAGATGCTGCTTCCAGAAAAATGCCTGAAGAAAATCCTCATGGAAACAGAGAATAAGGATATACATTTACTGCATACAATCCTTCTCAGACAGCATGTATTAAAGGTGCTGATTCTGTTCCCATTTGAACTCAACAGGAGCACTGGAATTGTTCTTGCAGAAAATAGGATCCAGCCCAATACTGGAAGGATATAGAGTCATCCGGTACACATATATATTTCCTGCAGCATAAATTGGCTCCCAAAATGACCTTTTGCTGGCTATCCACTAATCCCTTGTTTTAGCATTACATTTTTGACAAAGCACTCAAAAATCTTAACATTAAGTAGCCATAACATACAACTTTGAAATTGCAAAGTACTTCAGTTTAGCGAATGGAATAAAATCCAATCTGGTACAGTCATTTTGACCAGCCAAATGGAAAGTAGCAATTCAGCGCAGTACACCAGAAGAATTTATGGACCAGCAACACTTCCAGTAACTATACATTCTTAAAACATCATTACAACCATAGGTCTGAAATCCTGCTTTGTGAATGACGATTGTGGAGGTCCCTATCCAGCAGGAAAAGGCTGCACAAGGCCCTATCCCCAGTGCAAAGAGATTAGCCCTCATACTTGTTGGAGGAAAAGTAGTTTCAGTTCAGATCTTGGAAGAAGAGTCCTCTCTGTAAGGGGTTCCTGGTTTTCACAGTGGCCCCAGCTATTAATTAGCTCTTTAGCTAAATTATATTATTATTGTCCGGTTATGGTGTATTGACTTCTTTCCACACTATCAAGAACTACAAAGCGATTTTATAAAGCTAGAAAGAGTTTTAGTGTTACTGTGCTGTTATTCTGCTATGCAACCTTGAAAGTCAAAGTTCCAGTCAGGAAAAATTACTGCCATAAACCACTGGAAAATAACAAATACAACAGCTACATATTTTTGTTATTTTACTTCCTTGCAAGCTATTTTGATGGAGATTTGGTCAAAGTGACCTGAACTTTTTGCCACTGCAAGTTACATCACGCTTCTCGGAATCAGAGCAAGGGTTTTTAACTAATCTGACCGCAAAACAGGAAGAACAAATCATGGCTGCATGGAAGTTAAAATAGCATAAAAATTACTAACAAGCTGTAAGTAATTAGCTTGATAGGAAAACACAAGAAATTGTTTAGTATCCAATAAGAAAACATAACTAGCTTACACCCACAAGTGGATACACTGGATGGCAATATTAAAAAGTATTTGTGTAATTCCCCTTCTTGTAACTCCAATAAGAGGAGATAATATCTTTATCGTAAAACAACAGCTTGAAACTCTTCAGTTTAAGCTAAACAACTGCTGTAGAGGCCCAAAGCACATAAGACACATTGTCACACAACTGGATTTATGACATGGATCTGGATTCAACTAGATCCTGCTTGTTGGTTTAGTGCTTTCTGGATACAAGTGCAGGATTGAACGCCCAGAAAATGTCCCCTTTGCTGGGGATGACAGAATCTTCTCCCACTGAAGACTCCAAATTCAACCTTTCATTCTCAGAAATTCAATGGTCATGCCACATCCCTTGCAACCAACACCATGATCCTACAGTCTTCGTTAACATGGTCTTTTCAAGTAACGTCACTCCCTGGTCCCAACAAAGCCTGTCTTTGGGGAGTAAAACTAGAGCCATTACAGACAACCAGCACCAAAATCATAGAATCATAGAAACAACTAGTTTGGAAAAGACCTTCAAGATCATCAAGTCCAAGTCCATTAACCCAGGACTGCCAAATCAAACAAAACCAACCCCACTGTTATGACTGAAGTTGCAAATAGATCTAGGTCTCTTTGGTAATTCAGGTTAAAGCCATTAGCTCCCTCCTGGTTGCTCACTAGGGCCCTTCTAACTGAAGACACCAGTGCTACAGCTCTCCAAATATTCCCTAATAAGTTTCCATAGATAATACCAACAGGGTTCATTTAAGCTGTTTAAATAAATGACTTGAGCTTACCTGGCAGACGTATTAGGGAACTCATACGTATGAATCTACTAGGAAAAAACCATGAGGGCAGCAACAAGTCGCTGAAAGCAGGAGTATCCTCACCAAGCCTACAGGGTTCAGAAAAGGTTGTGTCCACAGACACATTCAAAAACCTTTCCAGTTCTTCAACCTGACTAGCTCCTTCCCAGCTATTATTTCTACTATTTTATTCCCAGAAATCTTAACTCACATTGAGTTTTTTTCAAAATCCTGGAGAATCTACTCCATTACCTGGTCTTCAGTGTATCCCTCTCTATTTGCCATTGCCTCTTCTTGACATAGGGGAATTATTTCCTGTGAAGGTGCTGAGGTGCTGGCACAGGGTGCCCAGAGAAGCTGTGGCTGCCCCATCCCTGGCAGTGCTCAAGGCCAGGCTGGACACAGGGGCTTGGAGCAAGATGCTCTAGTGGAAGGTGTCCCTGCCCGTGGCAGGGGTTGGAACTGGATGAGCTTTAAGGTCCCTTCCAACAAAAACCATCTATGATTGTGTAAAAACATGATTCCCCACAAAATCACCTCAGGTAGAGAGAACAAATGCAGAATGTCCACGCAAAAGCCATAGGCTTTTACAGTTCCTATAGAGTCAGAACTCTTTCTTTACTCTGTATTTACCTGTCTGAATCTAAATGTGCTTAAGACAACTGTAGTGATGAAGTTTATCAAAATGAATACGTGAAAACACACACACCTGTTAACACTTAAACAGTACCAACTGATAGAAGTACATTTGCTTTCTGGGTGGTGTATAGAAAAGTAAAGGCTCCTGTGGTCTCTCACAGAGGATGTAGATTATTCACTCAAAGAATTATAAAACCCCTTTAATTGCACAAGCAAGGGCTACCATCACTTTAGAGGCAGACATAAAAACACATCTATAAAGGATTTAGACATTCAATAAATGATTTTTTTGTCAGAATTTTGTGTATATCTTGAAAAATCATTGAAGGTTCAAATTTGAAATTCACCAGCCAGAATTAGTCACAGTGGAGGAATTTCACTCTGGAAGTTATCTTGGCCGGCACATACACCCTCCTGCTAGCCTGACTGAGTGCAAATTGACTCAAGATATTCCCCAGTCTGAAGGACAAAGTGCTACAGGCCACTATCTGATTGTGATAAAGAGCATACAAAGAAGAGATTTCTTAGCTCAAGGAAGCAGGAGAGAGGTGGCTGCAGGATTACTGGAAACCTTCATGTTTTCCTTATTTTTACGTTGTTCTTAAAGTCTTCAAGGGATGATTGCCCCTTCCGAAAAGGACAGATGGTGTTACATCAACTGGTGATGGCAGATATGGCCAAGTTTGTTTCCAGCTATTCTATTTACTCAAAGCATTATGGAGAGCTCCAGCAGAAATGCTTTACATGTAGCAATGCTACCATACAATACATATATGTAGCAAGCTATCATACAAGAATTACTTTGAGTTGCTGTGATATCTGGCTGAAAACAAACCAGTCCTTTCTGAGGATTCCCTCATTACAAGTTTGCCAGTAAAGACATGCAATACAAGAAAATACAATTCTCTCTTTACTCCATGATAAATTTGGACAAGCCCACAACGACCTCAACCTGCCCCTCTACAAGAAGAGAACACAGGCTCCAGAAGCTCTGGAGGCCTCATTCTTTAATACCCATTCACTGAAAACAAGCTTTACTCTTAAAAGGATGGTTATTTAAACCACCAACAGAAACTTGAATATGCATACATTTGGTAAGCAGAATGGCAACGATTATTTTGGACTTGATGATCTTAAAGGTCTTTTCCAGCCTAGTTGATTCTATGATTCTCTAAGTAAATGCTACCAGATCATTTAACATTTGATGTATTTCTGAGCAACACCGGAGTCTAAAATCCACAGCTGTGCCCCCTCTTTATTTCCCTCAGATTAAAGAGAGGTAAGAACTTATGATTGAGAATTACAGTCATATACTTCGCTGATCCAGGTGGCTTTAGAAATAGGCATCTGTGGTTTTGTCCCAGAGTACTCACATACCTAGGAAATTGTATATGTTTAATACACATGAGCAAAAATTTAACCTGTGGCACTTAATGGGCACAAGTCTAAATGAGCTCACCCAGAATCATAACACAAGCTTGCAGTGGCAGCACAGAGCCCTGCAAGGGCTGATTTACCCCATCAAAGATCATCCTCCCAAACCAGACATCAGGTATCTCCATCCTTGCCTTGTATGACACACATTTTCCTGCATGATTTTCAAGGGTGATAGCTCCATTTCCCCTTTATGAGGTATAAAGGGTTTAAATAATGCCCCAGTTAGTACCGAAACAGTTACTATAATTTTCCAAGACAGGATTAGTTTGGGTTTGGTGTTTGGGTTGTTTTTTAATTGCTTTCTTTTTGGTTTTAAAAAAGCACTGAGAAAGGTGAAAATCACTGAATTGTAGCCAATTCGTTAACACTCCGCAGCGTTATGAAAGGCAGAAGGTGTTGCCAGGTGTACACTCATAAGCAACAGTAATTTATGGTGTAAGCAAACATAGATGGAAAAGTCTACTTAGATAATTAGTGTTCATGCAGGGAGATTTTCTGGGCTTCGCTCTGTGCTAACACAAATGTTGGAAAAATTGACACTTTCTACAGTAAACCCAGCTAGAGAGGAAAGGAGGCTGCAGCTTCTCCTCCTCTGCACTGGAAAACTTGGGGTTTTTGTACCAAGCAGGATCCAAGTCAACAGCACACGAAGAAATATACACCCTGGCTCCATCAGGGCATCGCAAAATGTGGCACCCCAAAGATACTGCAGTTACTGGGGTAAGGCAGCAGTGAGGTACCCCAAGACTCAGTCGTGAGCTTACTATGCCATCTGGACAAAGTCAGTCAACTTCTGCCTTAATTAGCATTAGAAATTGCTCTGAACAAGTTCTAGGTTGGGGCTTGCAGCGTGACACAAAGTGACTAACTCATCAACTTCTCAACTTTGGAGAGACGTTCCGAGGTGCGGGTATGTGAGGAAGCCACTGGCAGAAGCTCCACAGAAGGAGTTAAGGTAACCCAGAAATGCAGGGCAGGATGGCAAGGGTAGTGCTTGAACAGCAATTTGGCATCAAAGTCACACACTCCCATTCCATGCGAGGAGTGGGATAAGATGACCGAATCCTGACTTCTGACCTGACCTAGGCAGATATCAGGGGGTTAAAGGTCCATGCACTAACCCACAGAGCGAGATGGCCTCCCTAAACCACTCTCTTAATCAGTAACCACTAATTTAGAATGAAACATCTAATCTAAGCTGCTTAAAATTCAAACAAACCCTTGTTAAAGTAATTGCTGTTACTTTCCCCTCAAATTCTGCTTCCCATTTCAGTTTCACAGACCATAAACTCTACAGAAAATAATAACTTCTGACTTACTACCCTTCCTTTATTAAACTGTTTACTATCATCAGTGTGGATGGCCACGTTTTTAACAAAGCAGTCAAACATGAACAGAGCAAAATAGTCTTACTCCACTTTGCAAAGTCAGTCTTTGGCTTTCCAAATAAGTCTCTCTATATGATTCTTAGCTGCACTGCTATGTCAGAAGCCTGATTTTAACAAAAGTTATATATAGAGAGAGAATTAATGCTCAGTAACTGCCAAAGAAACCACCCACCCGTCCCCAGAAGAAAACAATTACTCTTTTTTTTTTGCTTCTACATTTGATCCAAGTTTTCTGGTGACTTCAAGTTCAGTTTTGGTTTTGTTTTTTATCACAGCCTTGGTCAATAAGAGAAATTGCGAAACTCCATTGTGAGTTCTTACCTTATATCCACCAATGCGATGCTCTTGTTTAAACTCTTTCCCATTTTTCAGCCATCGCATGGTCGGTGTTGGGTTTCCCATCGCCGGACAACGAAACTTGACGGTGTTTGCCGCTGGCACCGCATGAAGTCTTTTCTCCATTTTGTCCGTATGTGTCCAGTAGGGTGCCCCTGTTGCAAGGAAATACACACAGAAACATCAGTACTTGGAAACCGAGCTCCCTTTCCAGCCCCTTCCATAAGGACATAAAGAGTTGCACATCCTAGTTTTAAACATGGTTTGAGTACATGACTGGAAGCCATATGCTGCAAGTGGACCAGTTTTGCAAATGGCTCAGTCTGCAGCTTTGAATATATCATTTATGATGAAATCCCAATAATTAACCACATTGGTTTGTGTGTGTCAAGTAAGACAGAGGGACTGAGTTTTCAGTGACTCAAACGATGAGACACTTGACTTCACGTTGAGTTACTGCGAGTGCTCAGCAAACTTGGAATTCTTTGACTTCAGCTGCAAAGCCAGACAGACCAAGTCAGAAGAGCTGTTGGAAGCATCAGCCTTAACCTCTCTCCATCTGTTAGAAGGCAGATAAACATAGCTACCTGCCTGGCAGCATGCTAAAGCTTACACTGTACGATGGCAAGGTGAACTGTGTTGTTACTGTCACAGAAACTACTGAAATATATTTACAAATGGAATGCATTTCTGAAATGTTAACCAAGGAGGAAGAAAATGAGCACACGTGGATCAGGAATACTCAGTAACAGCATCTATCATTTTGCCGGGATTTCCCACTCTCATGAGCCTGTCAAAGCCCAAATTGAACAAGACCAACACCAAGGCACAAAATGCATACTTCTCTCAGCCTACATTTACTGAAATGATCACTTTTAATAGTGCGGCAAGGCTCTCCTGGCTCACTCACTCACTCCCTCCTTGCCATGCCCTGGCCCTGTGTGTGCCCACACAAGGAGCCTAAGGAGTACATGGAAAAAAAACCCTTTCAACCAAGTTCTCAATCACTTGTCCTGTACCAGCACAGGAAACACAGGAGAGCAAAACATACAACTACCCATCTCGTTTAACCCCCTAAGAAGCAAATCTTGGTAGATACACCCATATACAAGGTTATCCCATGCTCTGGATCTATGCACCACTTGGGCTACATTGCACAGTGTTCATGGCATTGCTTCAGTTGTCTCACCATAACAGGTATTTTTAAAAGTTAAAGATTCAGGATCTGTTTAATAGTAGGAAACATTAATTTCTTTTACAATGGAGTTTTCCTGAAGCAAATCAGATTAGTGTGGAATTTTTAGGACTAGAGGGGTCCAGAAAAATAACTCCATTTCTCTCAGCCCTGTTTCATTTCCTTCATTAGCAGCCTAACACTCCACTATAAATAAACTCTTCCGTTCCTCAAATATTTATAGCAGCTCTTACAATCAGTGCAAACTCAGAAATCCTGCTACCCCCCTCTCTAAATAAAAATACAGCTGGATAGAAAATACAGGAATAAACCCTTTAACAACGTCTCGGTATAAAGGGAACATTCTAAAAGCAAGTCTTATAATGATCCTAAGAACGATAAGAGGGTTGGGCATTTCCCCCCCCTCCCCAAGTGGCAATTAGTGTTAAAATTAATGAAGTAGAAAAGCAAAGCAAATTTGTGCATGTAATCAAAGTAGAAAATCCGGTAACTATTGAAAACTTAACTGCAATACTACGAACTTGTTACACAGACTGAAGTGAATTAGGGATGCAAGGAAAATCACTGTTAATATTATTTGCTAAAACCAGGATCACATTAAAACAACAGAAGACTTTAAACAAAGCCAACCAAAGGAATTAGCTACCACACGCAAAGACCTAATTACATTACAAGTATACCAGGAAAAGGGGGAATTACATGTTGGTACCGATATAGTAGAAGGATTATTTTCTCTGGACTGCTAAAACTCTTGCACAAGGCAATGCAAGGTGACCACTACTGTGCCCTATCCACAACTCCCACAAAGCCAAAGTAAACTGTGGCAGGTCAAAGCCAATCAACCACCCAAACCAGTTATATTGGTACCTCAGACAGAGCAGAGCGCCCAGATTTCACCCGAAAAAGACAACGCTGACCCAGCAGTTTCTCAGCCAGCATGGTCACTTCTCATCACATCTGTCACACACACTCCCTCCCACATGTATAGAGCATAAAGGGCCTGGGTACAGTCACTGGCAAGCACAGCCTCTGAAGCACATGTTCCACAGCTCACCCATGGTGATGCTGTTCTGCAGGATGGACCAAGCTCTGGAGAAGCTTGCAACATGGCATCAGAGTTGGTCAGGATCCAGCTACCAACAGTTCCCCAAACCAGGCTGCTTCGTGTAGCCAGGTTTCTGCTGCATTATAGTGCAGCTCATCCTTGGGTTTTCTTGTATATAACCCTCTTCATCAACCCTCACCCTCTAAAAAACTGCTCCTGGAAGAGAAGTGCTCCAGTAAGAGTCATATATGACAAATGCACAAGGAGAAAAAACTTTGCTCTCTGGAAGAGGTGGGAGCAGAGAAGAAGCCAGGAGGATGCAGGCAAGAACAAAGAGAAGCAGCTCAGTTCTGTGCCAGGGAGAGAAGGGGAAAGGAAACTCCCCGGGCTGAAACGACTCTGCTTGGAAAGCTTCCCCTCACACAATCCTCAGCATAATCCGCAATGCTCCCGAATTACAGGGGAGCTTGGAGAAGAACATGCGGACATCACATGTTGAAAACGCTTCAAGACATCCTACCATTTCTCACTAGGTAGTAGCAACGTGTATTGGCAGCTCCTCAGTGTGTTTGAAAAGAGAAAAAGGCAGCAACATCCACAAACCATAACACTCACCCTCATTTTGTGCCTTCATACAGTGATTAACGCACAGCATTTCTCTTTATAGATTAAATTAGCATAACCTAAAGGCGCCTTTTACTGCTTTTATTTGTCCTGAGAGGAAAAACATCCAGATTCACTAAAACCAATAACGAACATAGTTAATAATGATAGATCATTAATAGATTATTAGGTAATAGATTAATAGATAATAGTGCCAGCTTCTCTCACAGACAGCGCCCACCTCATCCCAGCTTTGCTAACAGGACAGGTGGAAATAGGTAGCACCACTGTCAAGACAAGTTCACAGTTACACCAGTGCAGGCTCCAGCCCATAGCAGTAACAAGCAGCAGGGGAACGGGTGGGAATTCCTGATTGCCTTTGGAGCTCTCATTAGTGGAGAAAATATCCTGCTGACCCACACTGCACTCCACTGCAAATACATTATATCTAATCAGGCAAATCTCCTGCATGTGAAATTGAAATCAGGCTGCCCAGGGGACTGCTTCACTTCAGGACTCTTTAATTTTCACTTGGACTTATCTGATACAAAGGAATACTAAAGCAGGCAGCTCCAAGCCTGCCCTACGAGCTCCTTGACCAGGCAATAGCACACCTGAAATGACCACACCAACCCCCTCCAAAGGTTTTAAGTCCAGTTGTATCTGACCTTTAATTAAAACACACTTCTAGGCAACATCCTAGTTTGCTGCTCCCTTGAGTGGGTTTCCACTCTAAAGGATTTGATGAATTTGAACCTTGTTTCATCCTTTCTGAGTCTTTAAGGCATGAAAAGAACAGCATGTGGATTGCATTTAGATACTTTTTGTTCTTGGTGCCAATTTACCATTGCTTGGCCCAGGAGAAATTGTTTAAAGGGCGATAAGGAAAAAGAGTCCTAAAGCTTCCAGTCGCCTGACTAGAATTTAAGGCAGAATAGCAGGATCTCCAGGGCTATCCAGGGGTCTCTGGGATAAATCACTGTTGGTGCATCTCAATGGACCACATCATGAGCCGTTGCCTTGCCAGCACAAAGTCAAGGTTATAGAAATCCCTTAAATTAGGGCTACCTTTTAACAAGATAAGGCAACAAGTATCAAGGTATTGTGCTCCACTGCTACCAGTAGGAACTGACGATGAGCAGCCCTTAGCTTTGCAAAAACCAAGTCCCAGATCAAGGTCCTTGGAGGTGGCCCTCCAAAACCAAGCTAAGTCCCCTCTTTAGGGCAACAAAGGGGAAAAACTGAGTTGCCAACAAACCCGTTTTTGTGGAAAGAGAAGACTATTTTGCAGTGGAACCAACCCTGCACCTTCCCCACAAGCACTAATCCCTTCAACAAAAGCTGGAAGTAATAAAAAGCTATTCAGGATGCAGTCTGGAACAAATCTACCACAGTGCTTTTTCAGACAGTTAAAGTATCTGTCAAGCTAAAAGGACACCAAACGCAGAGTGAAATCTGCTATGCATGCCTTTTGCTTATAAATACACACAGGGCAAATGGTCAAATGCACATGTGTACACACAAGTGCCCTCGTCTCCTGAGGATGAATTGCCCCTCACAGCTACCGAGCCACTTACAGCCTCCACTGACTTCAAGGGCAGTTGTATTTTCTGGGCAGCCTTGAAAATGACACTAGATCTCCTCCATAGCCTCTCTGCTTGTATTGGAAAACCTTGGTCTCTGAAAGACATATCTGCAACTGAGGCAAATTAAAAAAGCTTAAAGGAATACTTACCCTCGTAAATGAAACAGCTCTAAAAAGGTTTGCTTTAAATATGCAGGAATGAGAATGCCAAGGTTCAGTTTCCTGTGGAAGGCACTACAGCCATTTCCTGCCTCATCACATCATAATTAACATGCCAGGACAGCTGGACTTTATCAGAATTGTTTCATCAAAAAGCAACAACCTTTGAAGACTATGGCCTTTTGTTTCCATCAGTAGAGGCATAACCGGGCCAATTTCCATTGCTTATCCTTAATGATCGCAGCTGTAATTTGTATGTAAATTATCAGCGAAATCGGTTTAGATCTGCAAAGCTCAAACCATGGCTCAGGAAACACTTAAAGTCTTCTTCTCTTACAGAGCAGCAACCAGGGGCTCTTGGGAGATCGTGGACTTCCCCTCACGTAGGCAGGAGAATATGGTACGGGGCATTTGAGCATTACACAACACTGCCTGCCCCATGGCATGCTCATGGTGGACCTTCTGCTACCCCTGAACTCCTTACTTGCCTTTCAATCTTTCACCACAGTGTCTTAAATGAGATGTGGCCTTCTGGACACAATATAAAGCCTAGAAGAGGAGCACTGATGGGAAGGAACTCTTAGAAGATGCTAGATGCACAAACTTCAGTGGTTTGCGAAAGCACCACACCAAGTCCCACCCCTAACTTTCATACAGCTCCAATCTTGCCAAATCACAACCCTCTTTCAGCAACGCTGCTTTAATCCAGCCGAGTTACTGTGATGCAACTTTTCATTGAAAGCAGACTACTTGCAGGGATGTGGTGCCACGCTTATTCTGGTTCCAGCTCTTCCCATCGAGCTCTCAAGACATCAGGAGGAAGGCTGTGCTGCTCCCTGCACCCATCTGCAGCTTGCGAGAAGGCGCAGCAGCTTGTGGGCACCTTGTAAAAAGCCATCGCATGAGGATTTGTTTGTGCAACGCTCTGGTCGGGAGCAGTCTGTCTTCTTGATGTTTCCTCCCTTCTGCACTGCAAGAGCTTGCACTCTTCCTGCCACCTGACACGCTTGTGCACGCACACTCTAGAGGCATCTTTCACTTTGAGCAGGGAAAGTGTGACTGACCCCTGCAGAAGCACACACCCCATCCCCAGCAGATGGAAATCCTCAGTGGCCTTTCACCAGCTCCTGAACCAAGATTGATTAACCATAGCTTACAATGACACCTCGTAATACAAGACTGTCACTAGTGTTACACAAGACACCGCTGCCCAGAGAAGCTGATGCTGCCCCAGTGCTCAAGGCCAGGCTGGATGAGGCTTGAACCACTGTGGTCTAGTGGAAGGTGTCCCTGCCCATGGCAGGGGTTGGATGAGCTTTAAGGTCCCTTCCAACACAAACCATTTTATAACTCTATGACCACTGGGTACTTCTCCCTGTTGCACAACTGTCTTATAAAGCATAGCTGCCTTGAGATCAGGTCCTTTTCATTTTTGTCTCTTCCAAAAGGCATTTGTGATCACAATGAACCACCAAAGCATCAGCACAGATTAGAAGCACAATGGTCTTTGCTAACACACCGAAAACATTGCAAGTCCTTTTCTGACCAACACCAAAAAAGCTCTAAAGTGATAACAGACATAGGGATGTCTCCTAAAAGGAATTCCTACCCACAAGTCCTTTCCAGGGGAACACTAACATTGCCTGGACTGCTGGGTTTTGCTTAGACAACTCCTTTTAAAAGCAGTGTCCCTTTCCCAAACTCCCCAATTATCTTTGCCACCGCATTCTTTGTCAGAGCAGCCTCCAGCTGCCTAATCTCAGCCACTTCAAGCTGCACCTGTGAATCAGGCCGGGTTAATCACACTAACAGATGGCAGGGGCCAAACAGGCAGCTAACAACTTATATCATTTTAAATAGCATCTAATGTTTCACAGCTTCAGACCAGGGGCAGTCATATATAACAGTAACTAACTAGGGGAGCTCAAGACAGGCTTGTACTTTATCATGCTTCAAGCATACAGTAGAGCTGCCAGCTACTAATCAGGCTGACGAGTAAACATACTACCTGGCTACTGTGTTTGTTAACTAGCTGACATCTCCCATGAAGGATTTCTGTGTTCTGCATGTTATTGACTTTACAAAGCACAGGCGATAGCAAACTACCAGTCACTGAGGGGATTTTGCAGCAGCACATAGGGGCATAAGGAACCAATATGAATCTTACCGTCTTTTTTTTCTCTCCTTAGCAACTGTTCTATTTAGAGCCTATTAATAGCTTTCCAAATTCTCCAAAGGGACTGAAGTTTAACATTCAGATAGGTTTAAGACTCTTTTAGCCCATTTTCATCACACATAAGTAACACAAAATGTGGGTTTAGTGCTGGATTGCTTTCTATGCCACAAACCTTGAGGTCCTTTGCAGACAAAAGAACCTCATTGTCTCCAAACTCATTCTCCCAGGGGAGATTTCTGCCGAGATTAAGGATTGAAGGATTTGCCTCATTACAACTTAATTTTTAAAGTTTCCATACCATCTTTTAACAAAGTGAGCCGGATCTTTGGTTCTTCTGTTACATTTCAGCTTAGGTTGAGGGGAAGTTAGTTCATCTGCGAGAGTCTAAACCAGACAAAGACTGAGCTTCAGTGCAGGAAGAAAGGAAACCACAGAAACGCTAGCAAGAAAGGAGACAGAAAGTACAGACCAGTAAAGTTTAGGAGAATATTAGTTTATTTCTCTTTTTCTTTTCCAAGATACGAATTATGTGAAACAGAAAACGGAGAAGGACAAAGAAACCGCTATTTGACAGCCCATGCAGTGAACAATCAGGAAGCTCTGAAGGCAGGAGCACGAAAGACAGGACATTATTTTCCACGTGGATCTTGCTAGTGACTTCTGGCAGTTGGCTGCTACTTACTCATCTGGTTGCTGTCATTCACAAAGTCCTCAGACCCATCGTTGTCATCTTCATCGTCCCCAGAGGAAAGAGCATCTGCACATTAAAAATAATCAAGTCTTTAAACCAGCCTATTTTTTTACAGACAAATAAACCATTATGATACATTTTAGGATTATCTATCAGGAGAACAGAAGTTACATCGTGCAGAAGCTACAGAAAAAGAAAATCCAGCCACAAAATGTGTGTTATTCTCACAAAATTCTAACAAGACTAGGTAATAATCCTGAAATGCTGCAAAGTTTCCATAGGTATCTTGCTGACTCCAAAAATCTCTACTTTTAATTCTTATTTTTCTTAAGGACATGCAGTTGAACAGAACTAAGGGTCTCCAGAATTATTTATCCTTAAAGGATGTAGGACACCCCTTTTCCTCTTCTGATGGGGGTGGGACGGGACCTTGTATTCATTCTACTGGCATTATCATCACCACAACTCTGTACAATTTGATCGTGTCATAGTGGCATAAAACAGAGAGCTATTCAGCACATTCTGATCATAGATTCATGGTATGGTTTGGGTTGGAAGGGACCTTAAAAGATCATCTAGTTCCAACACCCCCACTATAGATCCTGTGAAATAAAAGGAGTATATACAGAGTCTATCTCACAGTCAGGACAAGGAGGAAAATACCTAAATAACTAGAGAACCCAGCTCAGCTTGCTGTGCCCGAGTGAGCTGTTTCACATTATAGCATAACGTGTCCTTATATCACATTTTACAGCGTCCACATGCAAAAACCTATGTTTAACTCACTCACCTGTAACATTTACAATGAAGTACAGAGTATCACTGTCTAGGGTCCTAACAGCAGTGCAAGCATAGAGGCCCGAATCTCTGGGTGTAGCATCCTTAATTTGTAAGTACTCCCCAATAATCACTGTCCTATTGTCGGGCCCCAGAGGGACCCCATCCTTAGTCCAACTGATCATGACGGCGTCTCTCAATTGACAGCGCAACTCAAGCGGCTCTCCTGGAAGTGCTGAGTATACATCTGGCTGAGAGATTTGGTATTTGGTTGGCGGCTCTGCGAAGGTGGGAGGAAAGGAGGAAAAGAAGAGAAAGGAAAGGAGAGAATTTCCAACACAAGTCAGTGAAGGCCCTTGTCATCCACAGAAATCAAGTTATGTTAAACAAAAAACTTCCATCCAAATCAGCCCATCAACCTGCCTTGTAAAACTGAACCACTCACAGGTATGGAATAGGCTTCATTGTCGAGAAGTTAACCACAAGCAAAGCTCATTCCCGTTTGATCAGTGCCTCGACATGTGCCTTGTCCCGCGTGCCACGCAAAGGCGCAACCCTTCTCACTAGCCACTGTGAGCATCTCCAGGGAGATGAGCGCTGCTGAACCTGGGGCTTTGAGGAATTTGGAGGAGGGAGGAGGTGGTCAAGAAGCAGATTCATGTTTATATCTTAACGTTTGGGTCTGTGATTCAAATTAAAACTTAACCTTTCCCCATCTGATTTTGTAAGTTTGTTGTTTTCTTTTTCAACCTGAAAAGAGCTGTGTTGGAAGAAAAGAATGCCTAAGCCCCCCCCCCCCCACTAACCTAATAAACATCATTTCTTATACACAGCATATATGATGCCCTTTATTTTATTCCCTGCAGCCTTCCCAAAGTCTCTGCTTTTGCCTTCTACACCATCAGCTCTGTTCCCAGTGACAACAACTTTTTCCTTTAATCATGCTTCATTTCTGATTTCACGTCCTCTCCTGAGCAGGATACAAGAGAAACCCAGGAACACAAGCAAAGCATGTCACAGTGTACACAGAAGTTCAGAACAAAATGGCTCATCCACCATCCCTTTTATAACCAAATAACAAGAAGAATGTCAAACCACAGTCTTTTTCCAAAAAAACATCCTTGGAAAACTACATCTGCCTATAGTTACTAGAGCTTTATCACCCCTTTTTCCAAGGCTGGCTCTCAGAGGGAGGGAGAGAATCACAGCCCCAGACACTTGGGACCATCTCCACAGCGGGATGCTCCAGATATAGGTACTGCTGTTGTGACTGGTTTCTCCCTACAACCACAGTATCCCCCTCCCACGACCCTCTGGGCCTCACCAAGGAACAGTAAATAGAGGAAAGAAGCATGAAACCATCTTCTGTTTGCTCCTGAGGAGGGTCACATCGCACAGGCAGCTGCTCACCAGCACACATCCTTCTTCCCATGCAGGCACCACTGTGTGCATGTATAAATATACACACACTTTTCTGTTTGTCTGGGAGTCTGAGGGAGAATTAAAGTAGGTGACTCTTCAGTGCAAACCCTTGAGACTAAGAATACTGAAACCCTGAAAGCTGTGTGCCCTGTCCTTAGGACATGGTGTTGGTCATATCACTTCCAACAGAGAACTCCGAAACAAGCATCACATCTGAGCTAGCCTGTGGACATGAGTCTGGAAATGCCAAAGCTCTGTCAGTACTTTAGTTTTGGGTAGCCCTGTAAGGAGCATGGAAGTTGGACTCAATCATCCTTATGGGTCCCTTCCAACTTGAGATAGCCTGTGATTCTGTAAGTACCAGAAGTGGCCACCTCACTGGGACACTCATGCATTTAAATACTGGGTTAAACTGACATGCCTGAACGTGCCAGATTTCTTCTCCCACTCATCCTGGAATTATGTCATTTCAAGGAGTTCAGTGGGAGTTTGACTGAGTGAAAACAGATCCAGGGATGTGCCCTTGCAAAACAAGCAGCTTCTCCTTTTTCTCTAGGGGAAACATGCTTTCTTAAACAACAGATTTGACATATGCATCACACCAAGATGGTGACCAGAAGTACATAAAACCATCTAAACAAAACCAATTACGGAGATCATAAAGATTCTTTCTTGGATTTAGGTTTTATAAGAAGATCTCTAAACTTTCTAGCGTGCAAAGTTCCATCCCAAAGTCTAGGACAAACTCCAATACAGCTTTACACTCCTTATAAACTAATTCAGTCTTGCTGATACAGTCACAAAGCCACAGATCTGCAATGCAGGTGCTTCACTGAGTACTACACTATGCTGTTAGGAACCTAAGCATGGGTTCCTTTCTGCATGTATTTTGTAACAGTAAGGAGTATGGTTGAGTCTGCTTGAGATTTTATTTTAAATTAAGATTCCTCTGCCAAATTAAAGCAAAAAGGAGAAAGGAGGGAGCTGAAGCCAACCAGTTAAATTACTTTGAAGTTTTTAAGACTCTTTGTAACGCTCTACCTGCAAAGCAAATTTCTTTAAAGGAGTTTGCCCTGTGCCAACAATGTCCTGGAGTCTGAAAATGTCTTTGTTTAACCTTTGTAAAACTCCACCATGGGTGAACATAACTCAACACTCCTTTAAGTGCAGTAGAGGCTTTTGCCAAAGAGGGCCAGGAAACTCACGGGATGCTCACATAAGGTTGCTGCATCCTCCTGGGCAAATCAGTTGTTCCCATACAATTAGAAGCTAATTTTTTACCTCCCATCCTTGATTCCATCTCTTTCAAAACTACTATCCCCAAATGTACATTGAGTCTTTCAAACAAATGCAAATCCCAACTCAAGAGCAGTAATTTAGTTCAAAATGACAAAGAAAAAATGCCTTTGCCACAGAAAATTACTAGCATACTGAAGTTTCCAATAGGTATTAGCATTTGGTAAGTATTATCCTCCTCCATTTCTTTCTCTCTAGAGTATCAGGGAAGACACAGCAAAGTGTTGTCATGAAATAATGAAGTCATGTTTGGAAATAGTGAGTTATTTCAGGTAAGCCTTTGTGTTGCCAAACTAGAATGTAGCAGCACTTAAGACTGTCACTTTTTATAATGTTTGCCTATAAACTCTTTCCAGTGTGGGTTTGAAATGGTGCCCAAAAGCAAACAGAGAACAGGTGGGATTCGGAGGCATGAGTCCGCCCATCAGCTTCAATGCAAAAATCAACCAGTCTAAACTGCTAAAACACTCCCAGCAGCACATAAACAACCTATGTGCAGAGTTAATTCTCATTCCAGGACACTGCACAAGCGTTTTTACGCTGGTCAGAAAATTAGGGCCAAGTTTTGAACGTGCATGCTGTAGCATCAAATCTATGGCTTCCCTAAGGCTGACATTAGGATTCTTCTCCTTACATCCCCATCTTTTGAGCATAACAGGGAAATAAGGCTGCAGGTTTGCTCGGCTCTCATTTGTATCCATCCTTCAGTGTTCTCAGCAGCAGCATCCTGAGTTTTCCCCCTAGTGAAAATAGCTAGATGGGAGAAGGAGCAGATAGCCCTGAAGAGCACACAGGACAAAGCAAGGTTTGATGATCTAATATCAAACACATGCTCCTCCAGCTCTCTCCAAAGCTTTGCCTTGAAACTGCATCCTTCAGTCATCACCACAAGCCTGTAAAGCAGCCCTTCCCTGGGAGAGTTCTACAGAGCTGGGGGAAGGCAGCATGGGATACATAGAATGCTGGAATGATTCAGGTTGGAAGGAGCCTTAAAGCTCACCCAGTTCCAACCCCTGCCACGGGCAGGGACCCCTTCCACTAGAGCACCTTGCTCCAAGCCCCTGTGTCCAACCTGGCCTTGAACACTGCCAGGGATGGGGCAGCCACAGCTTCTCTGGGCACCCTGTGCCAGCGCCTCAGCACCCTCACAGGGAAGAGCTTCTGCCTAAGAGCTCAGCTCAGTCTCCCCTCGGGCAGGTTCAAGCCATTCCCCTTGGCCTGTCCCTACAGGCCCCTGTCCCAAGCCCCTCTCCAGGTTTCCTGCAGCCCCTTTAGGCACTGGAGCTGCTCTAAGGTCTCCCCTTCAGGAGCCTTCTCTTCTCCAGGCTGAAGAAGGAATTCCTTTCTAAGAAAGTTCTGCAAATCCTACAACTGTGGCATAGTTCCTACTGCAGAGGTGCATTACCTGATGTGCACAGCACCTGCCTATCACCCCTCAAAAAGCAAACAAGCCACAAAGGCACGTGCAAGATTTCTGATGATGCTCTCAAAACACTGGTGGACAAGGGAGACCATATTGGTTCTGCTATTGTCCTCTCCCAGCTACACCCTTATTTGTAATAGTGGTGCACAGAATGTGTTTAAACTTTATAGGTGGAGTTGTTGAACAATACCACCATGGAAAACCAAGCTGCTCTTAAATAAACAAGATGTGAACGTTTTCTTTGCCTGCTCATACAGTCTCACAGCATGGTTTATGCCGTCCAGCCATCAAATGGAGTAAATACTCTTTGTATAAAGACCACAATAGAGGGCTGGGGACATTCTGAATGCTCTACTTCAGTTTGTTATGAGATATGCAATTATATTCCAAATCATGTTTCTGTTCAAGATTCAGTCACTGAAACGAGAGATTTATACTTCCTTAGGTTTTAAGTTATTACTATTTGTCTCCATTTATTAAAATGTTAACAAAGAGCTGCTTATCTCAAGGCTCAAGGCATTTAGTTACTTAGTTACAGAGCCAAATAATTAAACAATCAGCTAATAGCTAACCCCAGCAAAGATTCTCACACAACTCTCCATAACACAAAAGCCTCAGTCCCCATCAAGCCACTTTCTCTTCAAAAGGCTTTAGTAAATAACTAAACACTCACCATAGCGTGCCCAGAAGGGTCAACAGAACTGACCTGTCACCAATCCAAGGGGTTCATTGCAAAACTGAATGTCCCCACAGGGAATGCCTGGCTGCCAACCACTACCACTCCTCCTGCTTCTCCTACCCTTGTCTCCTGATTTTCCTGCCATTGAGGAAAATCAAGAAAGACCACACTGGATGAGCAACACGGAATGGGGATGCCGAACCGTGCCTGAAGCAGAATAGCCATGGGCACCATGACTTTGGAAGTCAAATGCAAGCCTTTATGCTCTTCCTTGGAGGTAGCCTCTGCAGGATTGGGAAGCCCAGGTATCATCAGCCAGGCTTGCAACCTTCCCTCCTACCTCCCGGGTACAAACTGGTGGGCTTCTTCCTCAATTTAAGCTGGCTGGCTAACACTAAGAGTAGCTCCATGTCTCCTTCTGATGATGGATGATAAACTCAAAAGAAATGGCCAATGGTTT